CTTAGGGGTAGTACTTATTTATTATATTATTTTTAATAGATACTTTAGAAAAGTATATTAATATTAGTAAGTAATATTTCTTAGGCTATTATCTTAAATAGCCTAATAAAGACTTATCTTATATTCTCTAGTAGATCTCTAGTAGGATTATTTATTATAGATAGCTAGTTATTACTAGTAGTTCTAGTAAGGAGGTTTAAGAATATTATCTTATAGAGATTATTTTTTATTAAGACTTATTTTAGTAACTAAGTAATACTTTTCTAGCCTAAAATTATTATATCTTATTTTATTTTTATCTCTCTTAATAAGGCTTAATAGAGAGTTCTCCTATAGTAAAAACTCTTTATTAAGTATAACTATCCTACTATTTTTTAGCTTAAATTTAGTAGTTACTTATAGAGAAGAGCAGTAGGTATTTACTAAGATAAATATAGATTTAATAAAGTAAGAGTATTTAATTTCTTACTATCTATAACTTTAGATATACTACTAGATAGAATTACTAAGAGTAAGATAGTATTACTAGAGATAAAGAGAAATAGACTAGGCTAATATCTCTCTACTTACCTAGGATAAGATCTTCTATTTATATCTAGCTACTAGTTATCTATCTAAAGATAAGTTATAGATATTATAGAGATTTCTTAGCTTAACCTTAGTAACCCAGAGTCAACCTTAATAATTATTAATCTACTCATGATATTTGTTCACTGATATCACAATATATTATAGGAACTAGGTAGATATAACCTAAAGAATCTTATTAATAGATAGACACTAGTAGAAGTAGAGGTAGGAGATAATCTATAATATCTATAGATATTAGTAAGTCTTAATATTAGGCTATAAAAAATAGGTTTATTAATCTCTAATCTAATTAAAATATAAAAGATACTTAATAAGATTAACCCCCTAATACTATTATATAAAGAACTATTATAGTGCATGGCAGAAGGATATATTAGATAAAAATATTTAGGAGAAAGTTTATAATAAGTAGGGGAGGGATTAGGGATATAATATAAGATAAATAAGTAGAAAACTTAATATATTAGTAAATAAAAATTAGTAAGGAATAGCTATCTTATATAATAATAAATAGAGTTATTAGAGTTATAGAGTAGTAAAGACTTAATTATTTTAGATAATAAGGACTAGGAGAGAATTTAAAGTAATAATTTAGAATTAATATCTTAAAAGAATACTAGAGAGATAGATTTTAAAGAATTATTTATAGTTATAATACTCTCTTATTAGGAGTAAATAGAGTAGTATAAAGATAATATATTTATATAGGTAGATTAGAAAATAATACTATACTAGAATTACTTTTCTAAGAAGAAGAAAAGGAATTATAGACTAGTAGATTTTATTAATTATAAAGAAAAACTAATTATAATAAGATATTAAGAATTATACTAATTAACTAAAGTAATAAATAATTACTAATTAAAAGTCTAAGTTAAACTTTATATTAAGAACCCTATAAGATAATACCTTAGCTAACTAGAATAAATTATTATTATTATTAGAAGGAGGTGCTAATTCCTCTAGATAAGCCTTAATATAATAAGTAAATATCTAAAGATCCTAAAGAACTATAAAAAGATTATAATAATTATCTTAATTAATATAACTTACTAGCTAGGGAATATAAACTCTATTAAAGAGATTTTTATAACTAAGTAATAATAAAGAAGAATAATACTTAATAAGACTTTTCTTTAGGGCTACTAATAAGATACTTACTAAAGTATAAGAAAGAGTTACTATAATAGAATTAATCTAAGAGAGAGAGGGAGCTAATCTAATTAAACTATTTTAAATAAAAGAGAGAGTTATTAAAGAGAAACTAGCCTAAGTATAAGAAAGAATTATTATAATAGAATAATATCTTTTAGTTAGACTAATTATTACTACTATAGAATATTTTAAAGAAAGATAATACTTCTTAGCTAGAGCCTTCTTTACTATAGGAGAAGAGTCTTTATTATAAGAAATACTAGAAGGACCTACTCCTACTATAGAAGAAGAATCTTTATTATAAGAAATACCTAAAGGATCTATCTCTGTAATAAGAGAATTAATATTATCTTTTATACTAGACTATATATACTTATTATTATCTAGAGAACCTTTATTAGTATTATTATCTAACTCCTTACTATAATTATTAATTACTACTACTAACTCTATAGATAAATTACATAACTTATTATTATAATTAATAAGGAAACTAAGACTACTAGCTTAAATAATAGGTCTATAGGAGTAAAAAAAATTAGTAACTATAGATAAGAAATATTTACTAAGAAGAATATATACTTATTAAGAGTATTAAAATTTTATATATAAAGACCCTATATATAAAATAAATATACTAATCCCTAGTTACTTTAAGTATAGTTAGTATAGGACTTCTAAAAGAATATAAATCTATTATAACTAGAAGTAGAGATACATCCCCTAAAGAGATCCTTACCTAAAAAATAATTATTATAAGCTAATATATAGTTATAAGATGCATCTTACTACTAGAGAATAATAGCTAATATATAGCCTAAGTAAGTATATTCCTTTATATCTAGCTTCCTATTTTTATTAAACTTCTAGATAATTAAGTAAATAATATTCATCACCTTTAATATACTTTTATTAGGCCTATTAAGATGACCTTCTACTATTAGTAAGAGGTAATTACTAAAGCTAGAAAGAATACTTACTAAACTTACTAGAAGTAACTATATCCTTTTAATAGATAAGATAACCTTTACTCTTCTTTTATGAGGTACTTATATTCACTAAGTATAAGAAGAATATAAGAGATTAGTATATAAAGAAAGAGGATTACTAAAGAAGATAGTAATTAATATAATAAAAAAGAAGATAGTAATTAATATAATAAAAAGGAAGATGCTCACAGGAGAAGAAAAGAAGAAGAGAAGAAGAAATATAAGAGGTAAAAAGAGAATAAGTAAGGTAAAGTAGAGTTACTTAAAATTAAAATAAATAATATATAACCTTATCTTACCTTATCTCTACTATAATAACTATACTAGTAATCCTCCTTACTATACATAATCTGATACTACTTACTAAGCATAATCTGATGCTACTCACTAAGTATGATCTAATACTACTTACTAAATATAATCTAATATTACTTACTAAGTATAAATCTAATCCTACTTACTATATGTGATGGCACTCTCTTAGACTATAAGGATCTTTTAGTAAGAAGCTAGATAACCTGCTAAGGATGGGCTTCACCTTAAGTAGGGGAGGATGTAATATTAGTAAATAAATATTATAAGTAGATTAATAATTATTAAGGTTAACCCTAGATTATTAAGGTTAACCCTAGGTTACTAAGGTTAACCTAAGAAATCTCTATAATATCTATGACTTATCTTTTGGATAGATAGCTAGTAGCTAGATATAAATATAAGATCTTACCCCAGGTAAGTAAAGAGGCATTAGCCCAGCCTATCTCTCTTCACCCCTGGTGATACTACCTTACCCTTGGTAATTCCACTATATTAAGGGTAATAGTAATACAGTAGAAATTCTCACTAATCATGCTAATCTATGGACTTTCCTGATAATATAAACCCTTAATAGATACTATATAAGGTGGACAGAATTCCTATACATCTTTAACCTATAAATTAAGCACTGCCTAGAGAAAAATAATTCTATAGACATACCTAGCTATTCACCCCAACAATCTGCAAGTTTTTTCGACATTTCTGATTTTGTTTTGTCACTTTTGTAAGATGAATCCACGTTTGCCCTTCGATGATGCTGCCTGGGAAAAAAACGACCAGATAGAAGACTTCTGGCTAGATCTTCTCTTCGATGAAGACATCTACAATGAGATTGGAATTTTTCTTGCTGAAAATCATTGCCCTCGCCAATGGGCCAATTTCAAATTTTTAAAATGCGGCGGTTTCAACGCTAGCTTCCTCATGACATTCACCGATACCGATACTGGCGGCGCTGTTTTAAGACTCCCACTGCCTGGCGTTCATATGTTTCCCGAGGAAAAAGTTCGTAATGAGGCCTCTATCATGCAATTCATCACGGAACGAACTTCACAAACAATGCCGATTCCTGTTCCTATGGTCTCCCGCTGGGGAGAGAGAAACGAGAGCCCCTCAAATTTGGGTCCATTCATAATCATGGGCTATATTGACCACGAGAGAAGCATATCTGATCTTCTTGAGACACCGGGACGCCAATCAAAACAACGTCCAGAATTAAATCCAGATATCAGCACAATAAAGCTAAAAGCTCTCTATAGAGAACTAGCCAATATTGTCTTTTCTCTATCTACACTATCTGCGAACCGGATTGGATCTCTGAAACAGACCGGCAAATCAGCGTGGGAAGTGGCATATCGACCATTATCCATTTCTATGAACGAAATTGTACGTCTTGGGACGCTACCCCGATCGAAGCTCCCCACCGCGGTGTACGACAGAGCGTCTTTGTACTTTGAAGCCCTAGCAGAGCTGCATATCTCACACCTCAAACACCAAAGGAACAATGCTATAGACTCGGCCGACGACTGCCGGCGCAAGTTTGTCGCTAGATTTCTATTTCGAAAACTTGTTCGAGATCGGGAGCTTAGGGACAAATGGATATCTCACGAGCATGGCCCATTTCCAGTTTGGTGCGACGACTTTCGACCACAGAATGTTATGGTTGATAAAGCTGAAAAAGTCATTGGGGCGGTGGATTGGGAGTTTACATATACCGCGCCAGTTGAATTTACTCATGCTCCACCCTGGTGGCTTCTTCTCGAAAAGCCGGAATATTGGACCAAAGGCCTTGATGACTGGTGTGCACAGTACGAGAGACGGCTTCAGATCTTCCTTCAGGCAATGATGGACTGCGAAGAGGACGCATACCTAACCCGGAACGAACGACTTGAAGAAAGTCAGCGACTCTCTAGTCGTATGCGACATAGCTGGGAGAGCGGAGACTTTTGGATCATGTATGCTGCAAGGAACAATTTTGCCTTTGACGCCATCTATTGGAACAAGATCGATCAGCGATTTTTCGGGTCCAATCAACCTGACGACAATGTGTGCGAGGCATGGAAGAAAAGACTTCATCTCTTGGAACCTGAAGAAAAGGAAACCATGGATAGATATGTGGAGTTGAAGCTTCAGGAGAATGAGACAAGGCTTCTCTCTTGGGACCCAGATCAGTATACCCTAGATTATATAGCCAAGATGGAAGCATGATCGCTCTTGTTGGATGATCTGGGAAATAAAGATCCTGGTTTGCCTCATACATGCATTGAAATAGAGTGGATGCTCTTGTGTCTGGTACTTCGCATTCAAATTATTGTCACTTACTGAGACTGGTCACCCACTTTGGAAGAAACAGCCGAAGTGTCGAACACCGATACAAAATGTTATTATTGAGTGGTTTGGATGAGTTCAACGAAGCAGTGGATGGTGAGGGGGGAGGCCCCTTTTGACTGGATGGCATTGTGATTGTATTCGACGCAAAGGAAATTGTTGAAGGGAATATATCGGGAAAATTCCCTTCCTTGGCTTTGGATGGAATCTAGTAAACCATTGGTGATTGAAAACCGGATATTTTATACCTCTTAGCTATTATTTAGCTTAGTAAGAAGCTTTTTAACCTAAGCTTTAATTTATATAGAAATTATATAGGAAGTTAAGCTTTTATCTAATATATCTTCTACTAGAAGAAAATAGTTATATCCCTATAAATTAATACTAAGACTTATAATTCTTTCTTTATAGATATTTATAGATTTATTATATATAAGATCTAGATACTATATAGTTTAAAGCTACTAGAATAGCTTTATCTAGATAAAATTATAGTAGGAATCTAGTATAGTAGTAGCTATAGCCTTAGATAAAGAAGGGGAGTATTTTAGATCTAGTACTTAAAGAAATAAAGCTATTCTTAGTATTAAAAATATATAAAAGAGGTAGATATTATAGAAGATAGTTATCTCTAATTATTAATTTATCTCTAAGATAGATATTTTTTAATATTTAAAGATATTTATCTACTAAATTCTATACTTCTCTATCTTCTCTTTATATTATATCTTATATAATCTATTACACTAGCTTATATAGGTGGTTATATAGATAGAGTTAAAATTTTAATTAAAATTAGAGTAGTATTAATAGTAGATATATAGAATCTAGTAGATATGTATTCTTATAAGTATTCTAAGTAATTCTCTATATAAATTTATATAGGAGTCTACTTTTTTTATTTATAGAATTTATAAATAGTTATAAATTTAACTAAATTTTTTATTAATTGTGAGAATACTAGATCTTGTATGCAGAATATGACTAGTGTGAAAGAATAGATACTGTGTAGCTTGGATTTCAAGAATTTATATGATTAATTCTAATTAATCTATTCTTATAGGATAAGAAAAACTATAGCCTCTGATTAGCTAAAAAAGTCTTAGTATTACTACTAGATTAAGGGGGTTTAACTAGTGGAAAAATATGGAATAAAAAAAAATATTAGAAAATTCTGAAATTTCCAAACTAGATTTTCTTTGTAACTTTTCAAGGACCCTAAGCACCATGATAATCTTATTACAATTACTGAATCAGAGCACGTCAAAAACACCTGGATTACTGTGTAAGAACCTATTCCCCCCTATTTCCAATTTCCGGAACCATTGTTCGCGATATTGCTGTCGTAACTTTTTGATTCGCACGAGTTGCATGAGAAAGGACATGCTGTAGACAGGCACGAGTTGTAATCAACAGCAGCCAAAACGAAGTATCGCAATCATTTCGCCAAAACCGGGGGTTTAAATCTTGAAGAAGGCGATTGTCGACTTGAAGCTCGATCGCCTGGTTCCAGAACGGGCAGGCCAAACGCTTGAGACGTGGGACGCGAGTCTATCAATGACGCAATGATTCTGTAGCAAAGAGGCCACTGTATCACGTACATTGTTGATGTTCTCCGCATCCACACGCGCGTCGATTTCCGTTTTTCTGCTCTCCAGCAGAATTTCATAATGTCAACTCTGTGTTATGTAGAGCTTCGCGATATAGGATACTATAAGTCTCACTAAGAGGATCTCAGAAGACAAATGGAAGTCGTTGATGGTCCATTCCAGCAATTAATCCCTTCTCGCAGCTTTGGGGTCAAATGTGGAGTCGTTTATTTACACTACAATCGGGTCCCACTTTACTTTGGCGGCTATACCACATCTCTCTTAGCGCAGTGTATGCAAAGATCTGCGTATCGAGAGTCGTATTTTGTCGAGCTCTCTTACTGTACCCTGTATGATTATTTCCACATACATACTGTCTTGACATTACATTCATACATACAATATTCCGTACCACTGTTACCGACCATGCGGATTCAAGCCGACCGTTGTAAAGAAAACTAAGAAGGATGGAGAAAAGAGAAGAAGATATCCCATGGTTTGAGGCTCTCCGCTGCCCCAATCGTGGAAGACACAGCCTTGCCAGAAAAGGTAATATTGCCTCAGCTCGCTGATGTCCTTACGTTTTGCGCGTCTCTGGTTGGAGCATGCTGTGCGTTTAAAGACTCTCAAATCTCAATACCCTGGAGGATGCTTGAAACTCGGATTCGGCTGGGCACATCTGTAGATGGAGAGAACTTGTATGCAGTCATGCACTCTCCCAGTTCGAGCTGATAAGATTCTCATAAAATCATTAGACTAGGCTGTATTACTGTCGAATGTTCTCTCATGTTGAGGACTCACTACGAGGCCGTCAATCAGTATAGTCACTATAGTGAACGAAATGCTAGATACTAAATTCCCAAGCGATGACAGCATTCAGGATATACATGCAGACCAGAATACCCGGCAGTTGTAGTCTCATCTTCGAAGAACTGCTCGCCACAATGGAGGGGCATTTCCTCGTCAACAACCAGCAAATTTTGTCGTCTGAAGGAACGCCAAAGATATGACCAGTGGACCATGTATCTGTATCGACTATCAGGCCATTGATGTTCAAACTTGCAACCACAATACATACTTGAAAACATTCCTCCTGTTCGAAGAAGATGTCAATTTGCACTGAAGAGTATTATATTCATCTACCAAGAGCACCCGACAACATAGTATTTTCTATCATCCCATGGATCAACTGATAGGTACAAGGCGATGCATCAACTATTAGGAGACAGATAGACCAAACGCACTACTATGAAGCCATAAACGATCAATGACGGGATCTTCATCTCGAATCTAAACCTGGTTGACTTGTCCAGTTCCTAGGAACTCTAACATAAGCGCCTAATGATGAAATTGATACTTGACAGTCAAAGCATGATCGTCGGCATCTAGGTCCTGGACTGAGCGAATGATTTTTTGATATCTGCAGGCCGATCATTCTGAGCTACCTCGCGTCTTTCCTGCACACTTCCCATTGACATCTTGAGTTGCATCCATAATACATCCCGCCTTTTTGGACTTGCCCCTCCTTAAGAAGTTTTTGTTTTTTTTTTCTACCCTCTTCACCGCATAGCTTCTTTCAACAATACCCGCAACTTCCGGGTACCGCTACTTCATACAACATACATAGCGTGGATGTTGTCTTTGAACCAGTATACAAGTAGTGTTGGTTTCAAGTGGATCGGTATGCAAAGTTGCGGGGCTACAGAGCAGCGTTTTTCGCTTTTTGAGCGAGTGACAAGCACCAAAACGCTGTTAAGCACAGAAGGACTCGTCGTGATATATTAACAATTCCTTAGGGTTTTCCGTTCCGACCTCTCGGAACGGCCCAGAGTGCCCAATTATTGAGGTACGTTGACCTCCGTAATTGTATCCGTGGTATCTTCAAGTGGGCGGAAGAATTTTTCTCTGGGATGTCTCCATAAGTGTCTGCTATCCGCCACGAAGTGAAGCTGTGTCTTGAAGAAAAAAAAAATTTGTTTTCTTTCAAGATCCCCAGTGTACTTGACTCTCAATTCTACTCCGTAAGTCATGTTGCTGTCTAGGAACTACTCAGTAGTAGGTACTCCATAATGTCGCCGTCCGTTTGGACTAGTTAACTGGTATGGAGGCAATTTTTCTCAGCACAAGAGTGGGTACTTGTACAAATTAGGAAAACGTCTAGAAGGAAATGGAAGCGTGGAGCCAAGATATTTTTCAATTATGGGGAAGCTGGAGATTTGCAAGCTGCAATTTGCAACTGGACAGGAGGCTAGCATGATGTTCTGGGTAATGTTCTAACGATTGCTCTCCTCACCTAGTCAATATGATATTGGGCTATTGCGTATGTAGAGTGTAGACCGGGGCTTATGAGTACATATCACGTCCTTGACTCGCCAAGAAGATTTCTTTGACCATAACCCTTGCAGACACTGTTCCTGTTCGGCTGTTACTTTCGGGCTTGATATCATTCGATTTCTAGGCTCTCTTTGAATCGTCCATATCTGCTTCTACTGAATGCAGTGGTCCATGCAAGTAGTCGGTAGCTGATATGATCCATAACAACCAAATAGTGCCATGGCTATCTGCAGGTACGCGCAAGGAGTTTCTCTTCCATGATTCCATCGAGCAGTATTCACTGTTCCATGATCTGCTAAGCCACCTGCTTATATGATTTACGGAGTAAGTACAAAGCGTTCGAGTGTCATGCTTCGGGGTCTTGCACCTTGCTAGACTGGTTAAGTGGTTGATGATCTGTTTATCAATCGAAAATAAGTGACGCTTTGCATCGCATCGATATGTATCCATGTGTTGATTTCGTATGAAGTCCTTGGTAATGCTATGCCGGTGTCGAATGGTTCAATCTTCAGGGCCTTGCCTACTCAAAGCATGGGCCTATGGATTGATAACGATATATTCTGATTATTCCTCCCTTTGATAATCCTAATCTATAGTCCATACTAATCATTTCGTTTAAGGATGACGCGGAAGACACGATAAGTAATTTGTCACTATCGAATATCATGTCGTGAACGGAAACAGACGAGCAGAGTGAAGGATCCCTGAAGTTTCTACCTCGAATAGTCCCCAACCGATGTGATAAGGGGCTACTTAGTCTATACCGATGCCAAAGAGGTCACATTAACCACTGAATCTCTCTACGTGAAATCTTATTTCATCGCTAATTCGATTCGTCTGGTGGAGATTACAACTATTGCTTCCGTGACATGGTAATAGACCATACTCAAGGAGCTCTTATAACCCATGGTTTAGCCCATGTATTTTCCAGAGCGAGTCCTTTGCGACAAAGAAAAG